TTTTTTTTTTTTTTTTTTTTGTGGGCCGACGATGATGAATTAAAAGACTTAAAGCAATCTTTTTGGCTTCATGACTTGAAAGGGAAAAGGACAATAAAAAGAGTGAACTAATAAGTCAACTAAAGATTATACAATTATTGCAGTTGCAAACTCCTTTTTTTTTTCAGAATTCTAACTTCTGAATATAACTCGTTGATTGTAGTGGCACTATACAAATTTCATCTAGTAGGCGTGCTGATTGGACCGCTATGTTGGTTACCTGGTAAGCAAGAACGTCCACCCATTAGCCTTGTTTATTTTGGTGCTGTATTCTCATTTGTCGAAAATAAACCAGATATATGTTATTTTTTAATTTGCGAAGCAAATATATGATCTAGAGTTGATGGACGTGTATTCTCGATTTTTGTTTTATAATTTGAACTAAAGTTTAATATTTTGATGACAACTTTTATTTATTTATTTTGTTAATTAAAGATTATAAAATGAAAATTAATTACTGAAACTATTAAACTTATTCTTTCTGAACCTTAATATTATTAATTCATTCATTGCAATGACATTTATCGTGCATAATGAATCTAGTTTTTTTACCCCTTTTTTTAATCTAGTTTTTTTTTTTTCTTATCGGCAGCACTATTGAATGAAAATGGCTCGCCTATTGTATTGTCTCTATTGTCTGCATTGTTAATTGGTAAGCAATAACTTTCACTCAATTAACCCCCTTTTTTTGAGTTATATCTTATTTCTTATTTGTTTTTTTTTTTAAAAAGCAAATATATATTTTTTTTCATAATCAACAAAGCAAATATATGAACTAAAGTTGGTAGATGTGTATGTTTTAGCTTTTGTTTTACAATTTGATTAAGGTTTTTTGGTTCTTGTATTATGAGTTAAAAGCAATCGTTTTGCCATATATCATAGAAAGTAGTCAATGAAATAGTATTACTATTACAGTTACGGAATTTATTCTTTCTAAATTCTGAATATAACTCATATTGCAGCTGCACTACTCAATCTAGATCTAGCAGGTGTATGGATTGCGGGGCTTATAGTGGTATTTGGTAGGCAATAACTAACACTCAATTATCCTTTATTATTCTTTTTACCTTCATTATGGATATCTATATTCATATTTTGAATTTAGTTCATTTTGGTTAATTAAAAGGCTTTTTTTTTTTTTTTGGCTAAAATATCATATAAAGGCAATCAAGTATTGCAGTTATGTAACTCATTCTTTCTAAATCCTATATGCAGTACCAACAATGGATTTAGCTTACCAAGTGGCTACATCCGGCATACTGATTGGAGTGATCATATTGTTTCTTGGTAAGCCATAGGATCCACCCACTCTAGCTATTAGCTTTATATATATATATTGCTCCGTCAGCCAATAGACATACTGTTTGGAGTGTGTGCTTTCACTTCTCTTATGGTTTTTTTATTGCCCTCCTAATACAAGAGATTTTTTTTTTTTTTTTGAGAATTGGCAAAATAAAATTGGGCAGAGCCTGTAATAAACAAAAGATTCAAAAAGCATCCTATACTCAAGAAAACAAAGGATTCAAGAGAGGAAGGTAATGGGAATGATAATCAAACTCACATTAAATAAAAAATAAACTAGTTTTTAAGTATGTTTTACAAAATAACTTTATCTGAACTAACTAACTAACAATCCTTACAAATATGAATAATAACAACCTAATCTAATCCTAACAAAATATCCTAACAATAATAACAACTTAACAAATTAATCTACTCTAACAATTTCGAAATCTTTTCAATATTCCCTGCCTTAAACTGAAAGTTTCAGAAACTTCAATTTAATCTACACTTGTGTCAAATAATAAAACCTAACTTATTTTCGTAGAAATCGCGATTGTACTTAGCACGTGCAACAAGCCTTTAAAACCCTTGGTTACCCTAGTGGACGAGTTGTGTCTCGTGAGGCTTTTTAGTGGATCTACCCACAAAATCCTAATGTAAGAATGCAACTATATGATATGCATGCAAATAAAATTTAGGAATTAAAGTTCAATTAGAGGCAAAATCTCAAATATTCAAAAGTTCTCATATACTCACTTAAAGTCAAATACTCCATCCTATTCTTCACACCAGTTATCAAAAAATTTAGCTCATGAGCACTTAGTGTGTGTGTAAATTCATAGTAAGAAATCATGAGTTTAGACCTTCACACTTTAGTAGTTATTAATATTTTTTTTCTCCTTTTTTTTGTGTTGAGTTTCCTTAGGCTTTCTAAATTACTCATCTAACGAGCTTTCTGTCAATGACTCCCAAACCAGTTGGCTTTAGGGCATTAGGTGAAAAGACACCCCTAAGAATATACTTACTCAAGTAACAAAGGCCACGAAACATTCGACTTCTCTTTTTTCTCTTTTCTTTTTTTTTTCTTTTTTTTTTTCAGCCACATAACACATTTTCCCCAAAGCTATCACTTGTCTTTTGACGCGAATTCTAACATTTGTGATGAAAGCACCCGGTTACTCAACATAAACTTAAAATGTAAAATGCTTTGCATACTCATATTTCAAGTTGTCGTTTGACGTGAAAGTTGACATGGATCTCATGCCTAACCCCCAGTTACTAAGCAACTAGAAACATTGGAGTAAAAATTAACAAACTCTTTTATGTGCTAGCTTCTTTTTCTTTTTTTCTTTTTTTTTTTCTTTTATGTGCTTTTTAGGTACTACTAAGTCCTCTCTCTAAACTTCTCACTACAAACTTGTGTTCAAGTAGAATAAAATACTCGTGAACTTAAACTTCATCCCAATGGTGTTATTTTTCAAATTCTGTATCTCTTCTAAGATTCAAAGATTTAAAAAAATTTTGACTTTCCAACTCAAAAATATTCAATTCCTTAACCCTAATTGGACCAATTTCTAAAAAAAATACCCTAATTTCTAAAAAAAATGTGTATCATGCAAATATGAATGCAAACTAATGTAAGAATGGATGCCTAAAAGTTATTCTTTCCACCAAACTTATATCAAACATTGTCCTCAATGTAAAATAAAAATAAGAGAAAAGAGAAACTTCCCAAGTTTTGCACTTGAAAATTTGAGTTCTGAAATTGAGTTCTTTTCAATTGGAGGCTTCAAGTATGTGAATTTCCATAATCTTGTCCCCCAAACTTGTTCAATGACCTAGCCAAAATCAAAGAACAACAATTTATAAACTAAAATACTCAAATAATCAAATAAATTCACCCCTTAGTGAGATGTAATTTCTCCACATTTATGCATCAACCTGGGTTATAAAGAGAAAAAAATTAAAAGAAAATCTAAACTATAAAAGAAAAATAAATAAAAGAAAAGAAAATTTTATGCTTGGGTTGCCTCTCAAGAAGCGCTTAATTTATAGTCATTAGCTAGACTTTCTACCACTCCAATGTGGTTTTGGATTAGGTCGTAGGGCATGTCCTCTCGTTTTCTTGAATCTTGGCTTTCTTGCCCTTAAGTTGAATCCACCATAAGATTTTCTCCAATGACTATTTTGTGGTGGTTTGGGTTTAGGCCAAGAGATGTGCCTTCCCAATTCTTCTAAGATTGCCTCCTTTGATTTCAAGGAAGATGAGGATGTGTTCAAGCAATTTATGTATTTTTTAATTGGGTCCTTTGCTTGAATAAGATAAATCTCAAATGGATCCTCATAAGTGTTTTTCTACAAAATCTCATCAACCATACCAATAACAAAATAATCATTAAAATCAGATTTGGTTAATGGAGACTTCCCATTAAACGCTTCAAATGACAATTGAGCTTTTTCCTCTTCTTCCTTAGGGACATCCCCTTATTTAGTTTCTGTAGGTATACTTTCTACTTCTCCAAGTTGTCCTTCAATCTCCAAGGGTAAAGTATTTACTTTTGCTTCTTGATTTGTCATTATTGCACTAGGTAACTCACCTTGTATTTTTTCAGCAACTAAGTTGAGTGAATAACTTAATTGAACTTTCAGATTTTGATCCAAACATGTCTCCTCTTCTTGAGCTTGAAACCTTGATTGTGGCTCCAATATATCTTCATGAATCCATGAGGAGTTTGGATAGTTTATTCAATCAAAGTTGCATGCATTGGGATAAGAATTATATTGTTGGCTATAAAAATCACAAGAAAAATCATCATGTTTGTTAGATGGTTTAAATAAGCAATCAAAACTAAAATGGTCTAATTCACACCATCGACAAGTAATATTAAATTATTTTATTATAGCCTTATTTAATTTCTGCTTTCCAATGACTGCTTAAAATCGTTCAAGTTCATCATCGTCAATTTCTGCTTCCCAATTGATAGTTATTGCTTCAACTTGTGCTCTTATCTCTTGAGCAAAATAATGATAACTTATATCATTGTCTATGACAACTCGATCCATAGTGAGACCTACAAAATCATAAACAAAAGAAATAGAAAAAAAAAATCAAAGTAAAGAAATAAAAGAAAAGAAAACGTTTAAATTAAATCCAGAATTAACTAACTTCGATATTAATTAAAATCAACAATCCACAGCAATGGCATCAAGTTTAACTTGATGCACTAAAATCACTCTAACAAGTGTACTAGTCACTCTAAGTAATATAATGATAAGTAGAGTATCGAACCCACAAGGATTGCATCTAATTAAGTACCAAAATAATTAATCTAAATTTATTTGAACAATCAAAAAGGAAGAAACTTTAATTAAAATAATAAAAAAGAAAATAACAATTAAAATAAAGCTAATCAAGATATGAGGTACTAAGGCATTGATTTCACCATAATCAATCAATATGAATTTTGGATTAATATACTTTTAAAAACAATTTTTTGAGTGCATGTGATGGTGGATTTCCCTAAATTAACTAACTAGCTTTCTCAAGTCAAGTTAATCCTTCACTTGTTTATTAAATTAGTCATGTCTCTATATAATTTTAAACAAACTAATGGGTATTAAATTCTATGGAAATCTCTAACTTAAGAAGGGGGAGCTCCTAACTCTCTTCTCCTCCTCCACTACCACATGTGAGCTAATTGCTTCTCGGTCTCAAAGCCTAACACACGGTTTATGTTATTATTGGTCTAATTTATGCAATTCTTTCTTAAGTTTATGCATAAATCACCAAATCAATTGAAAGGTGAGTAGGCTTCTAATGCATTAAGTTCAATAATATAAACTTCTCATGCGAATAACTTTAATTGAAAGTATAAAATCACAAAATCACAAAATCACAAAATCTGTATTAAATTGATTAGGCTACATCATAGCCTTAATAAAATCAATTATTTCATAATAAAAATAATAAAATCTGAAATCATAATTATGAATATAAGAATATCAAAAAAGAATAAACCTAATTTAAGAAAATTAAACTCTTTGATCTTCTACTATTGATGGACTCTCTATTTTAATCTCCAAAAGTGCCTAAAAGAGGGCTACCATAAGCCTCTTAAAGCTCTCTCAATTTTGAATTTGGAAGGGTATTTATCCGATTTTAGATACCCTAATTGGAATAGAAGTGAGACCCACATCCAAAATAATAAATTAAACCTGGATTTTCTGAAAATTGTGCAAGGGGCAACAGCTTGAACTAGGTGCCGACACCTTCTATTCAGTGCAGAATACCATCACTGTGTCGGGTTTTTGGCTTCTCAACAATTTATGTGATGGTAAAAATAACAGTCCTGGTCCCTGACTTCTAGATTCTGCACAAGTTAATCCTCAAGTTTTTGATCTTTGTAATTTACTCTTGAAAATCATGATTTCTTTCAATTAAGTCCTTTCCTACATAAAAAATAAAAATTATGTAAAATCTTATAAAACTCATCCAAACATCAATAATATCAAGGCACAAATTCCACATTAATAGGCATATAAATTCATCTCATCACACTCCTTGTCAACAAATTCCACTGCATGTCCATGATAGTACTGTTTCTTCTCTTACAAACACCATTTTGCTGTAGTGTATAAGCTACTATCATCTGCTTTTGGATAACATTGGCTTGACAGGAATCCACAAAATCTTGTGAGTTGTACTCACCACCATGATCTATCACAATATCTTTATGGGACTACCAACGTCATTTTTTACCAGCACTTTAAATTTCTTAAAGGCTTCAAATTTTGTTTACAAGAAGTAAACCCAGGTCTTCTTGCTATAATCATCAACAAAAGAGATAAAATGCTTTTTTACCTCTATTAGATACAGGACTAATAGGTCCACAAATGTCATAATGAACTGGCCCCAAAACTCTTCTTGCACTCTAAGATATCCCATTTCACGAAGTTGTTTGCTCACAACATAATCTGAACACACTTTTGTTGGAGTTGGAAATTTAAGCAAACCTGCATCCATCTTCTTCTGCTATAGAAATCTCTAGCTACCAAGGTTGAGATATCCAAATCTGTAACATGCTTCTTTTTTCAATTTGATAGAAAAACAAGAACGACTTGCTTTCTCCAAATATAGTGTAAGCATTCTGTTAGCTATCATGTTAACTGTTGTAAGCCATGCTTTGCATCATGAACTTGACAAAAACCATCATTGATAAGAATTTCACAACCCTTTTGTAGAAGTTGTCCCACATTCAACAAGTTTGTTTTCAAATTTGGCAGATACAAAACATTACAAATAACCTTCAAAGAATTGTCCTTGGCTCATATTTGCACATTTCCTTTTCCCTTGATAGAAATAGTAGAGTTGTCTCCAAAACTTTATAGTGGGGCAGAAACATTTGTCCAAGATAGAGAACACTATTTTATCTCCACGCATATGATTATTGCATTCAGTGTCTTGATAACACTTATTTTTATCAGTGGTTTCTTTAAGATTAGACACCATCAAAACAAATGTTTCTTCTTTGTTTACCTCTTGTTCTCCAAGGTGAGACTTTCTCCTCTATTTTTATTTAAATTAGCAAAGCACTCATTCTAATGGTGACCATACCTATGGCACTGATAACATTCAATATTTGATTTATCCATTAACTTGGATTTGTAATCTGTCACTTGATGATCACAACATCTCCATTTTTGTCTCTAATTTCCAGTGATATTCTTTTTATACTTACAAAAGTCAATGATGTACACCAATTGTGCATATTCTAGAGTGTTTCTTTTTTCTTTTTTTTTTTTGTTTACAATATTTTAATTTACTATACATGTAATATCTAGACACAACTAACGTGGCCTCCTATACATCATATATCCTTGTGTGGCTTCAATTTACATTGCAGTAAAAAAATTTGCTTCTAGAAGACTTTCATGTCATCACCTTTTAGATCCCAAGTTGGTGATGAATATTTTAACACTCCCCCTCAACACCGACTTTGGTTCTCGACATCATCCCAAGCTGCTCATGAAACATTTCAAGCTTTCCAATGTTGAGCCCTTTCGTGTATACATCCGCTACTTGCTTATCTGTTTTTATAGCTTGCATTTCTATCTCCTTTTTTAGTACCTTTTCTCTGATGAAGAGATAATGAACTTCAACATGTTTTGTCCTACATTGAACATTGGATTTTCTACTAGTTGAATTGCTGACTAATTATAACTATATAATTTTACTGAATAATCACTTGGTTGCTTCAAATCTTCCATTAATTGCATAAGCCAGGTGCTTTCTTGAGCTGCCACAGCTACTGCTCTGTACTCTGCCTCAGTGGTTGACAAAGAAAAAGTGGGTTGTCTCTTGTTGCACTATGAGACCGCTCTAGATCACAACCAATAGTGGATCTCCTTGTATCATGACACCTAGCATAATTAGCATCACAAAAACCAACCACCTTACACTCTGTGCCACTTCTGTATAATATGCCATAATCCAGTGTTCTTTCGACATACTTGAGAATATGGCGTACTACTTCCAAGTGTGGCTTTTTAGGATTTTGCGCAAATCTACTCACTACTCGTATTGCAAATGATATATCTGGCCTTGATAAAGTTAAATAGATTAAGCTTTCAATGAGTTGCCAATACATGGTGGCACTTGCTAATTCCTTTCCTTTATAGGAGCAGAGTCTAGCATTCATCTCTATTGGAGTTGAGATTGGCTTGCACTCAAGCATCCCAAACTTCTTTAATAAGTCTAATGCATGCTTTTGTTGACACAAGAATATGCTTTCTTTTGTCTGATCCACTTCAAGCCCAAGAAACTGCTTTAATTCTCCCAACTCCTTCATCTGGAACCATACTGACAAGTTCTCTTTTGTTTGAAGAATTTCTTCAATATCATTTTCGATGACAATTAATTCATCCATGTAGACAAGCACACTTGTTATTTTGTTGCCTGAAGTTTTGACAAATAAGCTTGAGTTTGCCACTATCATTGAATAGCCACTTTGAACAAGAAATTCTACAATTTTGCCATACCATGCTTTCAGCACCTGTTTTAGTCCATACAACACCCTATTTAATTTGCAGACATACTCTGGATGCCTATTATCTTCAAATCCACATGGTTGCTCCATATAAATCTCTTTGTCAATTTTTCCGAGCAAAAATGCATTCTTCACATCCATTTGCCACAACTTCCATGATTTGCTTGTAGCTAGAGCAAGTAGTACTCTAACAATGTAATCTTAGCCACCAAACTGAAAGTTTCATCATAGTCTATCCCGTATTGTTAGGAGAACCCTCGAGCAACAAGTCTAGCCTTATATCTCTCTATCTTCTTGTCTAGCCGAGTCTTAACCTTGTAGACCCATTTGCAAGATACTAGCTTCACATCATTTGGCTTGGGTACCAATTCCCAAGTCTGGTTTGGCATTAAAGCCTTTATCTCCTTTTCTAGTGCTTTTCTCCATTCAAATGCTTTGTGCAGCTTCCTCATAGTTTTTCGATTCTGTTATCAGACTTGCTTCAATAAGAGCAATATTAGCATACATAGGATTTGGCTTTCGCTCTTGAGTGGAGCATCTTAGCTGCTGCTCAAGCTGTTGTTTTGTTTCTTCCACTTCACCTTGTCTTGTTTCTTCAATCATGGGCTCTCATACTCCTGTTTGCCATGGATTCACTGTTCTTTCAAGAGGTATCTCCTTTTCCTTCTCTACAACTTCTTGAGTATCCAATAGCCTACAAGTATCTTCTCCAAGCTTTTCCTGTACCTCTTCTTCCAATTCCTTGGAATCAGGCAACACAACCTCTTGTGGAGACCGCCAAAAAGATGCTTCATCAAACACAACATTTCTAGAAATATACCAACGCCTAGTATTTGGGTCATAGCATCTCCATCCTTTCCTTTGGTCATCATAGCCAAGAAAAATGCATCTACATCTGACTGCTTTCTTATCAAACTTGGTCCTTTAAGCTTCTAAAACAAACACATAGCACACTAAACCAAAGACTCGAAAATGGCTCACCACTAGCTTGATGTTCCACAGCTTCTCAAAAGGTGAGGTAAATCCCAACATAGCTTGAGGAAGCCTATTAATCACATGGGCTACAGTCTTCATGCACTTTACCCAAAATCTAGGTGGCACATTTTTAGCATGCAGCATGCTTCAACATGTTTCTACTAGGAGCTTGTTCTTCTATTCAGCTACTCCATTTTGTTAAGGAGTATGTGGACAAGTTAGTTGTCACCAAATACGATTATCTCGTAGATAATTTGAAAATTCCTTTAATGTATACTCTCCCCCATTGTCAATTCGAAGGCAGTGAATTTTCATGCCAACTATCTACTCAACTTACTTTTTGAACCTTTTAAACAATTCTAAAATTTTTGATTTTTCCTTCATGAAGTACACCCATACATACCTTAAGTAGTCATCAATAAATGTCACCATGTAATGTGCTCCACCAATTGATGATAGTTTGACTTTACCAAAAACATCTAAGTGCACTAGCTGTAGTGGTTCCTTGGCCTTGAACTTGGAATCCTGATATGGAAGTTGATGTGCTTTCCCATATTGACAACCAGCACAAACAACATCTTTGTGCAATTCTAGCTTAGGTAGGCCTTTCATCATAGATTTATTCATCATCACCTGCAATCTAAGATAGCTAATATGCCCAAGACGTGCATGCCACAAGTCAAAAGTATCATTCTTGCTAGTCTTGCCCACATATGCTGTTTCAGCAAACATTACATAAACAAAGTCCCACTTTTCTCCTTTCATGATGGGCGTGCCTTCAATCTTTAGTTGTTGATACACCTTCACATCCTTCAATCTAAACACCACATAATTTCCGAGAGCTATAAGTTGTGACATAGACAACAAATTCTTTATCATCCTAGATACATGGAAAACATTTTTCACCTTTACTTGTTAAGAGTTGGTGCATGGTGTTATCACTGCAACTCCAATTTGCTTAATCAGAAGTCGAGTATCATCTACTGTCACTACCACTCTATTTCCTTTGTGTTTTGACAAGTTCAATACCTTGTCCTCATCTCCTGTCATGTGACTAGCAGCTCCAGAGTCAATTATCCAATTTTTGCTGTAGTCAACTCTACTTCGGTTGGAAGCTAACAAAGCCACTTGGTTAGCCTCAATTTCAGCTTCTATCTCCATAGTTGCATAAGAAGCCTGCATGTCCCATTCTTCTTCACTATGATTTCCTTCCTCTTTTGAGGAAGCAACATTTCCTTGCACTGAGCCCTTTTTATATCTACAATCTCTTGCAAAGTGACCTCTCTTTCCACAAATAAAACACTGATCATTATGTCTCCTATAACTATTGGAGTGGCTACTCTCTACCTCTTGATCTTCTTGAGCTCCCCCCAAATGCTAGCTCCTATTTTGCTACCTCTAGGATTTCTTATCCTTTGGCTGATCTAACTTGATGCTCTGAGATCTGCCTTTGCCTCTACTTCCTCCTCTGGTGTTGTAGAGGCCTCATTTAGTACTGTACTTCCCTCTTCCTCGGCCTCGTCCACTAAAGAGTGCTTCTTCCTCTATTGTGCTCCTTCAATTACTTGCTTTCCCTATGCTTCTTGATTTGCCAACAAATTCTCTAATTCATCCACGATTGGTTGAGTTTTCCAGCCTTGTACAGCAGTGATAAAGGCCTTAAACTCTGGCCTTATCCCATGAATAATTATTCTTCTCATTCTTTCATCTAAAATTTTAGATTCTTCATCCAATTATGAAATTTCTCGGCATAATAATTTCATTTTTGTGAAATATTTCGTGATTGGCATATTTTCTTGCCTCGAGAAAAACAACTCATTTTCCAGCAATTGAAGTCAAGTATAGTTCTTTTTAAAGTGAACAGCTAAAATATCCCAAGCATCCTTTGGTGAGGTAGCGTACCTAATATGCTCTAACATTTCTTCCTCAACAAAAGTTTTTATAGTAAACATGGCCTTGGCAGCTCAAACTTTCCATTTCTTGTATGTAGTAGCATCGATCTCTGGTGGTGGCATAACCTCGTCACCTTTCACAATCTCCAACAAGTCTTGGCTCTCCAGATAAGATTCAACACATGTTTGCCATGTGATATAATTTTTCATTCAACTTCCTAATGGTGTTCACCCAACTTTGATCACCCATTATGACTTAGTGTGGTCCCTACCGATACTGACCTAGTCCCAGACAAACAAAACACAAGCTTGACAGTCCCAAATTGTGCACAAGAAAAATTTCTCCAAGGAAAAGATCTTTGACCTACTTACTTTTTGATGATATTTGATTGAGCGGTCCTTGACCATTGCAACAATAAAGCTGGGAAAAGCCTTCACCAAGTGGAGAATCACGGTCCCTGACCGTGTGAAGAGACTACTGCAGTAGATTACTCTAATACTAGATTTGTTGAGTACGAGAGGAAATAGCATAACACTTTTCTCTATTGAACTCACGCACACACACTATCTACTTCTTCCATTCTTCTTTTTTATACTTACAAACATCGGTGATGTATACCAATTGTGCATATTCTAGAGTGTTCTTTTTGTTTACAATATTTTAATTTACTATACATGTAATATCTAGACACAACTAACGTGGCCTCCTCTACATCATATATCCTTGTCTGGCTTCAATTTACGTTGCAGTAAAAAATTTGCTTCTAGAAGACTTTCATGTCATCACCTTTTAGATCCCAAGTTGGTGATGAATATTTTAACACCAAGATTCTTGGATTCTTCAATCGAATAAACAATATAATTGAATTTAGTTGTCATTGATTGAAGAATATTTCAACAATAATGATATCTTCTAATTTTTCATAATTAATCTGCAATGTGTTTGTAATTGCCAATTTCAAGGAGAAATAATCTTCAATAGATTCTCCCATCTTCATTTACAGAGTCTCAAATTATACCCGAGAGCTTGGAGATGCTGTCACTTTGGTGCCCCTACATTCCCTTGATATTTCTTCTTCATTGAATCTCAAATCTTCATGGAAGTATCCTTGTTAAGAACAGTTTCCAAGACTACATGATCAATGGCTTAGAATAAGTAGTTCTTCGCCTTATGATCCTTCAACTTTTACACCTCAACTTCTACCTTTTCTGCATCATTTACACCTAGTACTAGTTCTACGACACCATCATCTACAATCGTCAGGTACTCTTTGGACCTTAAGAAGTTTTCAATCAACATACTCCAATGATCATGATAATGACCACAAAAATGAGGAATTGAAGGCTGCACAAAGTTGTAAGACGCCATCATGATAAACACCATTGAATAGAAAGCTAAGTTTTGCCTTTCTATCACACACTACCTCAAATGTAGTGGCTGCACCAAGTCAAAGGCTCAAATGCCAAATGTTAAGAAAACAAAGTATTTAAGAGAGGAAGGTAATGGAAATGATAATCAAGCTCACATTAAATAAAAAGTAAACTAGCATAGGATTTGACCCCCTATCTTTTTTCTGGATTTCCCACTAGTGGAATAAACCTGTTTCCATTTGGTGATTTGGACACCACCAGATTCTCCGACTTCCTTTTTGTGTCCTCCATGGAAAATCTTGCAAGATTTGCTTCCAATGTGCGCTGGTCAATCCTGATCTGGTTTAACTGCAGCTCTGCTGCTCTAGTATCCTGCACATTCAAGAATTTAACATAACCAAAATGCTTTCCTTTTTAATCTCTCTTCCTTGCCATGAAGACTTGGATTACTCTGCCAACCTTGACAAAAGCTTTCCACATCTCACCCATTTCCCATTCATCTTGGAATTTTGTGACAAAAAATGGGGTTGCCTGTTCAAGTACTCCTTTTCCATAGCCAGAAGATGGCTTCCGTTGTCCTATTCTGTACTCTCTACCTGTCCTCTCTGATCCCTGGCATCCGTTCCTCTATTGGTTTGGGTTGGGGTTAGAGGTAGGTCGCTTCCTCATCGATTGTCTCTCAGGGTGGTGAATAGCCCTTGTCGAAGGCTGAGCATCCAGCAGAGGCTAAGGGTTATTCGTAGGGTTTCTCTCTCTATGGCCCATTCTCTTTCCATATATTGTCTGCATATGATACCACTTCGGTACCTCTGCTCTTTACATCAAACTACATTCCCACTAATGTCAACTACAATTTCTCCTATAGCATAAATAAAAAAACTAAATTCAATCACTTAAAGTAAAAGCTAATCCCTCCGTTTTCCCTTTTGATCCAGTTAAAAGACTTAATCTGAATAAACTCAAATACTCTTTCCGCATTCCACTGACCCACTCTAAACACATTATTGTTCCTTTCCGACCAAATAGGCCACAGCACCATACACTAAACAAGGGACCCCAACTCCTTTTACAAAACAAACCCAACACAAATTGCAAACATAAATCATTAAATTGACTCCGGGCATACAAAGGAAACATTCCACCACTGGCAGCATTTCAATGTGCGAGGTAAAGACCAGAGATATATAGTCCTTTTTGGCTGCCATAGAAAGTCAACAACTGATTGCATTGATGAATTTGAATTCATTTTTAGGGTACTGATTCTTCAACGAAATTTTAACGAAATTTTTTTAACCATTAATCATGTAAGCTCATGTGAGACTCACATTATAATGAAAAAAAATTACCATAAATTCAACCTAAACTTTAATTCTAAAAATTTGGTATTATTTTTCTTCTTTTTTATGAATCATGAACATGAGACGTTTATAAATTGCAGTCATACTACGCATCCGGGGTCTAGGAAGCGGACCGATTGGAATCCCTTTATTGGTACTTGGTAAGGAATAACTCCCACTCCATAAGCTTGTTTTTTCCATTTTTTCTTTACTATGTCTTGATAATTATTTGAAAATTTAAAGCTTTTCTATCTTCAAAGCAATTATATGATCCAAAGTGGATGAATGTAGGTCGTTTAACTTTTCTTGTAGTGATTTCCATCTCTTTCTAGTGAACCGAAGGGATCTTAAATTCAAGTGGTGGAAATGTGAATGAATTACCTTTCATTATGGACACTTTAAAAAAAATTAATAATTAAAAGCTTTTGGTTTGATGGAAATGAAGTAGAGGAAGGGAATGTCTCAAAATTTTTTTGTCTCTCTCTACTATATATTTTTCTTAAACCAAACATATTCTAAAATATATTCTTCCCAAGAGTATGCAATCTTTCTGGATAGAATTGCAATAAATTATGGGATCAATGTTTATGATCCGTACTTCTTTTAAAAAATTAAAGAAAGAATGCTCTAAAGTTACCTCATTTCATTAATGCACCATAGAAAAATTCTAAAATAACATAATTTTCCCATAGTGTTTTAACATGTTTATTCTCCTAATTTTTTAGCACTTCAATTCATAAATACTTTACTCTTAAATTATTATAGCTATAAAATCTGTTCTTCCTATAAATGTTTTTTTTCTGCACAAATATTTTCTTCCGAAATCCTAAATTATAACTGATATATTGCAGGGGCTCTGATATGGATATTAACAGTTAGTTTACTGTATTCAGGAGGTAAGCAATAACGTTCACTTAATTAGTATTTTTTTTTCCCTTAATACCACTAAAAATCTCTCAACTTTTATAAAGGATTCATTGTCATCTGTTTACTTAAAAAATTCATAAAATTCCCTAATTTTAAAAAAGGGCAATCATCATCCTCCGTTAATGGACTTCATAACTCCGTTCGTTCTTTCCTTAAAATCCTCCAAAATTTAATGCTAAAATAACATTATCAGTCCCTCAAATTTTAATTCCAGTACACTTTGACCCTCAAACTTCGATTTTTTCAATTTGGTTCCAATTCAACTTTTCTTATTATACTGTAGTCTATAAACTTTTTAAAGAATTACACTTAAGTCTCAAATTTTCAAATTCTATGTAATTAGTGTGAAACATTAAAATTTTGATACCAAATTTTCTAAATTTAGAATTCTTAAAAATAAAGAAATGATATTTTACTCTCTGCATGTATATAACTCACA